GTTGCCTTTTCAGAGAGAGAGTGGAAGGGAGAGAGAAGCATCAATGTGTTTCTCGACTGGTTGCCTCCCACATGCGCCCCAACCGGGAACTGAGCCTGCAACCAGGGTACAGCACGTGCCCTTGGCTGGAATCGAGCCTGGGACCCTTCAGTCTGAAGGCCGACACTCTAACCACAGAGCCAGACCAGCTGGGGCAAGAGTTTTAGTTTATACAGCTAAATTTAATCCACTATTATTTAAAAGAACTCAGCTTGCTGTTATAATGAAGTTTCCCTCTTAGCAAGCATATTTTAATTTAACCTAACCAATAAAATTGAATGCCTCACAACTTCTTCAACTATTTACCTTTCTTTGTTCAAGGTGGTTTAAGAACAGGGAGCCCTTTATGATGAGAGGGCAACATGATTTGACTTTGACTTTGGTGACTATTTTCTATTCTGCAGTGAAGCCCAGTCTGCAGGTGTTGAGAGCCCGTTTCTCTGAGATCACCCCCCGAGCTGTCAGGATGGCCTGTGAAAACCTGACCAAACCCGATCAGAAAGTGAGCGATGCGGTGGACGTGAGGCAGGAGCTGGACCTTAGGATAGGTGAGGAGCCGCACAAACTCCTTTGATGGCCTACGTGGCTGTTGGGTGTTGGGTTATGGAACCAAAAATGAGGTTTATGCATAAATATGTGCAGCTAGCTTTGACTTTGCAGTTCATCATTTTCTTGTCCTTCCTTTCTTTCCCCACTTTCCAGGAGCTGCCTTCACTAGGTTCCAGACCCTGAGACTTCAGAAGATTTTCCCCCAGGTGTTGGCAGAGCAGCTGATCAGTTATGGCAGCTGCCAGTTCCCAACACTGGGGTTTGTGGTGGAGAGGTTTAAAGCCATTCAGGCTTTTGTGCCAGAAGTCTTCCACAAAATTAAAGGTAGGCTGGGGAAGTGCCCAGGAATAACTGAGGACACGGTGGACCATCAGTGGTGCTAATTAAATGATTGATTTTTTAATTTTTTTTTTTTAGTTTTGTTATTCTTTATTCTACCCCATTACAATATTCAGAATCCACTTAAAGTTTCCTCAGTGAGCTTCTCTATTTCATATTCCTTTGACCTTCACTGTAATCCTCCTATTTTTATCTGTCATATCATGTGGCTCTGAGTCATAGCCTTCCTGTTTGTGTTTCCCCAATAGTAACTCATGACCACAGAGATGGCATCGTAGAATTCAGTTGGAAAAGGCATCGTCTCTTTAACCACACGGCTTGTCTTGTCCTCTATCAGCTGTGCATGGAGGTAAAAAATATTTTGAAATCTCAGTGATCTAGGAACACTTCTGCAATTTCCTAAGTCACTCCCTCTCTGTTGGCAGAGGTAATCCTATCCCATTTCCTGCTGAGCTGTAGCTTTCAGTTTATACTTTTTGGGTACTAATAAGAGTAGAATCCCGTGAAAACAGCACTAAAAATTGTGGCAGAAAAGGACCTGTGGAACTTCTAGGTAAAATCAGAAATTTTAAGAAATATATAACTAAAACCCTTCCCTGAAGCAGAGTACTGTCATTACCAGTTAAAAGGATCAGCTTGACCAGTCTAGGCCATAGACTTCCAGATCGGGAAGGAGTTTGGACAGCATCTTGGCCATTGGTCAGATGACATCTAAAGAGATGAAAGTCACAAACAAGTGAACAAGTTAATTTTACACAATGATAAGTCACTGGAAGTAAAGTAGAATAAATGAATAGAGACTGGCCAGGGGGAGCAGGAAGGGGACTCTTCTAGGCATGGTGGTCATGGAAGGCATCTCGGGCGATGTTTGAGTGAAGGCCGGAGTGATTAGCAGGAGGCAGCCACAGGAGGACTTGGGGAAAATGTGTGTCAGTCAGGAGAACAACATATGCAAAGGACTAGTTGAGGCCACAGGCCAGTCAGTGGCCCAGTTGCATCCCTCAGACTAATTGTCCACTTTGCAATGCTGCTTCCTGTCATCAGCATAATTGCCTATTTTAACCCAGGGGCTGCACACAGTGGTACCTAAAGGAAACTTGGAGCTCTCTAGGTTTGATGAGTCAGCTGTGCTTCTTGACTGTAGCCCATTGGCAGGTTTAGTATTGATTTGCTAAGGGGAAGTAATGACTATTGAGCACCTGCTATGTGCCAGGCATACTGTATGTTTACATGTGACTTTCTTTAGAATAGTGCCTGTGCAGGTGGTGGTCTCCCATTTTACAGATGGAGAAGCTAGAGAAAGGGAAGGAACTGCACAGACACATTGGAGCTAGGAAGAGGCAGAACATGGACTGGGTCCCAGTGTGTCTGAATCCAGCCTCCCAGGAGTTACCTGTCTATCCACTGCTTTACCCTTTGACCCCAAACGTCACACAACCACCCTGTTCAGTAAAAAAGACCTGCCCTTTTTAGTGCTTTATATAATTTCTCCTATTTCTAACTATGTATTATCAAGAACTTAAAAAAAAATAGTAACACCATGAATGCAAGATAAGAAACCATACTTAGGAGGTGCAGAGACTGTTGTATTTCATAGGCTCCAGAGGAGGAACCTTAGGGCTTTATTTCATAGGCTCCAGAGGAGGAACCTTAGGGCTTATGAAGTTGCCCTCAGGGTCTTGTGTGAGTGAGAAGGTGGTAATGGCGTCCACCACACTATGGGCTCAGGCCACACGGGACAGAGCAGGGCCTCTGCTGAAGGTGAGTGGGATCAGAGCGATGAGTAGGGGCGGCTGCAGGAAAGCCAGAGGAGATGCACCAGCTGGTTAAAGTGGCTTCTGCTTTTCTTGGCTTCCTAGGATCCCGTGGCGACTGTGGTGGAGGTCAGTTCTAAGGCAAAGAGCAAATGGAGGCCTCAGGCTTTGGACACTGTGGTATGTTCTGGGGGGATTAAGCAGGTCCTGACTTTGTTTTTGAGACCAGGGTTCTGCTGTGGACTGTGGCCCAGGGACATCACTCTTCACAGAGCCACACAGGAAAGCACTTGGGAAAAACAGAAACTCCAAAACATGGCCCTGCTTGGCCTCAGGGCTCTTTTTCTATTTAAGTTATTAGTGGAATGGAATTGCTTTATGTGGATTTTGAGAAACAAAAAGAGGAAGATAAATCACCTATCACCTCACCATCCTTGTACAATCACTGATACAATCTTCCTCTTTTTCCATATGCTTATTTTTTTACAGAGTTGTAATTCAGATAGTGGTGGGGGCTTTTTCCCAGCTAAGCTTTTTCTTTTAATATTTCTGCGTAATCTGTGTAAACATTTAAATATCTGCTTTATGAGCCCACCCTAGAACAGGGTTTCTCAAATTTTTTGACCCTAAGAGCCCCCCCAATGGGACAGTCTTGAGTAAACACATTGGGGTGCCCCTTCCTAGTCACCAGGGTGCAGAAAAAGTCAAGAGTACATTCCTGTCGAGGCTCACTCCAGAGGTTGAACACGCAGACCATGTGGGATGACCAGAGTGAAGGATTGATTTCATGTAGTAGGCATAAGTGTTTTTTTCCTCGCTGGTTGAATATGCTTTTATGTAGCCAAGCATTGTGGAATGTCACCAAGGGGAAAGGACAGCCGATTATCTCCCAAGAGGCCTAGAAGAACAGCATTGATCACTCAGAGGAATTGACTGGGACTCAAATGGAATTCCCAAAGTGTGGTTCTCAGACTGCCTGTCTGAGACTTTGTATTAGATACTTGTTAAAAAATGCAGAGTTCCTGCCCTGGCCAGGTGGCTCAGTTGGTTGGAATGTCGTCCCGTACACCAAAAGGTCGTGGGTTCTGTTTCCAGTCAGGGCACTATGTAGGTTGCAAGTTCCATCCCAGGTCATGGTTCACATGGGAAGCAACTGACCGATGTTTCTCTCTTTCTCTTCCTTGCCCTCTTTCTGAATCAATAAAACCATATTCTCGGGTGAGGATTTTTTTTTAAAACAGATTTCTGGCCTCTTTCCCTGCCCTCTTGTCAGAATCCCTACAGCTCAGGGCTCAGGAATCTGCTTGCTTCCCAAGTGATTCTTGCTTCTGCACCTCACTGAAGCAGATTCTGGCTCTGCCTGGCAGCCCGAAATTTTTCAGATTCTTGCTCAGTCCTGCTCCCTCTGTGACAGCAGCTGGAGCAGCTGGGGCCAGACAGTTCTGAAGATGAGTTGTGTGGTTGTGTCATGCTCTCTGACTTACACTATACCGTAACATGCCTCTTGACACATTTAACAGGAGCTTGAGAAGCTGGCTTCTCGAAAGTTGAGAATAAATGCTAAAGAAACCATGAGGATTGCCGAAAAGCTCTACACTCAAGGGTAAATATTTCACGTTTGGGAAAGGGATTTGATGCATCTTTATCAACATGAAATATTTTAGAAATAGAGCTTATGGGGAATCACAGACTGCCTAGGCGTCACTTAAGCTCTGAAGTAGAAGAATTTTGACCCTGACTTCTCTTTTCTGATATGGAAAAGTCATTTAAAAATCTTTCCCAAAAAAGAGCCCATAGAGTAAATTCCAATCCCAGTCTTGATCCCTCAGTAGCTACCCCTGGGGCCCTGGCAGGTGGCAGGCAGCACTGTACCCCTAGGAGTTGTTTGCCTGTTGTGCGTCATCCTGCCTCAAGGGTCGTGGGCACCCTAGTGCCATCCAGTGACAGTGGGATCCACACAGACCACTGTGGCAGCCACACGGTATTGGTTGTCTGAATTAGGATGTGCTTAAGTTGAAATATATACTGGGTTTTGGAGACTTGTATGAAAAAAGAGCACAAGCAATCTCAGTAATGTTTAAGTGGCTAACAGGAAAGTTTTAATTGCACATAGTTTACTGGGCAGCACTGTTGTTTCTGTACTTGAAGAAAAGTGCTAGAAGCACACAGGGCTGCAGCTGTCAGGACACATCGTGGGCTGGCTTTGTCAGACTGACACCAGAGCAGGCCATGGACGTGCCTCCTGACCCAGCTGCTGGCAGAGCTGAGCGCTAAATGTGCCCTGTGCTGTGTACTCTTCATTTACTCTTGGGCTTCTTTGCATGTCCTGGCAGGAGAGCCTGCTGCTTCTCACCCCTTTGGGGAGGCACATCTCAGGACTTTTATCCGTATAGGTCACCAAGGTGGCCTTCATTTGAGTTGGCTGGATGAAATGGATTATTACAGGTGTCACCAGGTATTTTCAATCTAACTCAGTTGTTTATAGACCAGTTTCTTCTGTTTGTTTGCCTTCATTTTAGGTACATCAGCTATCCCAGAACTGAAACAAACATTTTTCCCAGAGACTTAAACCTGACAGCACTGGTGGAGCAGCAGACCCCGGATCCACGCTGGGGGACCTTTGCCCAGAGCATTCTAGAGCGGGGTGGCCCCACCCCACGCAATGGGAACAAGTCTGACCAAGCTCACCCTCCCATCCACCCCACCAAGTACACCAGCAGCTTGCAGGTTGGTTTCCCTGGCTCTGCCACCTACTGGAACCCAGAGGGAGGTGAATGGTCAGTAGTAGGGTTTGAATTTACTCTGTGAGCTCTTATTGTAGGAACTAAGTGATTTTGAAATATCTCTTCCATTTCAGAAAAGAGATGTCAATGTAAAAATTCTTCTTTTTTATAATCTTCTGCTTGGCTTCTGTGAAAGACCCCCATGGTGGGTTCTCCTCTCTACCCAGCCCCACCCGCTTCCCCACCCCATCTGCTTCCTCTGCTGCTTCACTGATTGCTGCACCCCCAGACGGATCCCTGCGCAGCCCCGCACCCACACAGGGCCTACTGCCTGGCCCTCCTGTTACCTTGTCACTTGGAAGAACCCTATTCGTCCTGCAAAGGCTGGATCGGTTTTCATGGCCTTCCCCAAGCTTTCACATCACCCTCCGCTCGCACTCCAGTCACAGCAACACTGTCACACTTAGCATTTGCTCAGCAAGGAGTAAGCCCCATGAGGCCAAAGCTCCTTAGGCTTGACATCTGCAGGTCAGTAAAGTCTGGTCCGTCCTTCCTGCCTGCCTGCCTCTCTTCTTCCCTTCCTTTCTCTCCTCTTCCCCCCCACATTATTCTTTCTGATTTTAAAAGTAATACATGTTCATTTTAGACAATTTAGAAAATACAAAGGATTGTAAGAAAGAAAAAAGTTGCCTCTGATCTTACCTCCTCCTGAGAACCACCTTTTTTCTATGCATGTATATAATATTCTTACATTAAAATTGTAGCCTTAAATAATTTCATAAACTACTTTTTTCCATCTTATATTTTCCCATATGCTGAAATATTTTAAAGCATATTTAATGACTACATAGATGTACTGTAATTTATTTTGCCAAATCTGTTTTTGAAGGATTAAGTTGTTTCCAACTTTTTGGTACATGATATACTAAAGCTAACATTTGTATGCATAAATATTAGTGCAGACCTCTCAATATTTTCTTTTAACACATTCTTAGAGCATTAATGACCCGAGTACAAACATCTAGGGGCTTTTGATAGATTGAGTCTCACCAAATGCTTGATTACTGAATTGGTAGAAAATCTCCAACCCTGTGTTCATGAAGTTGGTCTAAGGCTGCTGGACGTATACTTACTATGTATCTCCTATGTACAAGGGGTGTCTTGTTAACTTCTTGTGCTTTCACCTTTAGGTTGGGTTTACATAAGAATCACTTCCCAGTCTTGAGGGCAACATGACTCCCTTGCTTATCTTTGCCTGCTTAGAGTTGTGAAGTTTATCAGCCTAAACCCATATGCACACAGTGCAGTTGCCAGCACTCCGTGTTAGTGCAGGGGTACAGCAGTGCTGTGCCCTGTTCTGTGCAGAACTTTGAACTGAAACATGACCTGAACCAGGTGAAACTACCAATGATACTGAGACCCTTGAGCGGTATTATTCTGGAAGGAGTTTCAGACTTTCTTTTCTTTGTAGGGGGACGAGCAGCGAGTGTATGAGTTTATCGTTCGCCATTTCCTAGCTTGCTGCTCCGAGGATGCTCAGGGGCAGGAGACTACCGTGGAGATTGTCATCTCTCAGGAACACTTTTTGGCCCATGGTCTCATTATTCTGGCCAGAAACTATCTGGATGTGTACCCATATGATCGCTGGAGTGACAAGGTAATAAATCATAAGTGCAGTCAGGTCAAAATCCATATCTCCCCCGTGGGCCTCGGGGACAACAGGACAACATTGTGTTCCCGACCCTAGGCCCATGGCATGGACTAGGGCATGTTCTTGGAACTGGGAGTTGTCTTTGCCTGAGTTCCATGGCAAAGTTATTTGACTGATGCTTCTGCTCTCTGTAGACCCTCCCTGTCTATGAGAGAGGCTCCCGCTTTCAGCCCAGCACCGTGGAGATGGTGGACGGGGAGACCAGTCCACCCCAGTTGCTCACTGAAGCCGACCTCATTGCGCTCATGGAAAAGCATGGCATTGGTCAGTGGCTCATCGTCATGGTAACTAGCGGCTGGCTCTTAGCACAACCCTAGTGTGAGTGTTACATTCTGGACCCTACTTGATAGCTGAAGTGAGGCTTAGAGAAGTTAAGAACTTAACCTAAGGTTACAGAGTATGCAAGTTATTAACAAGTAACTCCCCAGTCAGTGCTCTTTCCTCTGCCCCGCACCCTCCATGCCCAGAGTTCCTGCGGGTCTGGTTCCAGACCAGTGTAGTAGAGGTAGTCATGGATTGTTTGGTTTCCCAGCACATATAAAAGTTAGGTTTATCTATACTGTAATTGTTAGGTTTACACTAACTGTAGTCTATTAAGTGTACAATAGCATTATGTCTAAAAAATGCATATACTTTAAAAATACTTTATTGCTAAAAAATGCTGACCATCCTCAGCCTTCAGAGAGCTGCCATGTGTTTACTGGTGAGGGGCTGGCCTTGGTTGATGTGGACAGTGTCTGGGATGTGCAGTAGAACAAGGCATGCCCATAAGAACGGACATTTTCCACTGTCCTCCGCTGGGAGCCAGGGCTGCCATACACTCAGGACTTGGGGCCCACACTAGGATTTGTTTGTTTGTTTTTTTTAAATCAGGTACCAACATGTAAAACTTGAGAAATTCCACATAAAAATCTCTCTTCATCTTTTGAAGTATCAGGATGTCTGGCAGCCCAAGCCTTCACTGCCGTGCGGACCCTTGTTTGGGTGTGAGGGGTAGCGTCTCCTCTAGATGTCATTCTCTTGCTCCTGGGGCTTCCTGCACCTACTCATTGCAAGCCAGGCGCCTGCGGGTCTCAGGCTGCCACGTTGCTATTAGCCATTTTCTTAGATATTTGTTAAAGCATTTCCCATAATTGCTTAGGAATTAGAAAGTAGGTTTATATGGTGTCAGATGGGTATTAGATTTATCAGGGTGATCATTTCATAAGTTATGTGAATGTTTAATCACTTGGTTGTACACCTGAAACTAATATAATATTTTACATCAATTGTAATTGAAAAAGAAAAAATTATTTAAAAAATGAAATCAGGTTTAAAAATAAAAGCTAGGCCAGAAGTGTTTTTCCCCCCAAGCCCTGCAGCCGAAGCTTTATAGGTGGCCCTCTTGTGACTGACCTGCTGCCCCTCATCAGTTCTCACCACAACTCTGAGGATTGTGTCTGAGCCTCATCCAGAAGGGCCAGCACATGATGGAGAGGGAAGTGGGTGGAAGGGGAGGTGGGCTCCCTGGGGTGTTATGGAAGTAGGCTGTATCCTCAGGTGCAGCTCCTCACTACAGTGTGAATGTTACAGTTTTGTGACTTAGGAAGATATACCCTGACCTGGAGACCACTGGCCATCACTGGACTGTCCAGAAAGCCTATACATGTAGGTAAAACTAGAAGTTGTTCACCCACCATGATTTATTCATTAAAAATGTATGAGGTGCCCTGCTGGAGTGGCTCAACCATTGAACATTGACCTAGGATCCAGGAAATCTCGGTTCAATTCCCGGTCAGGGCACATGCCTGGGTTGTGGGCTTGATCCCCAGGAGGGTATGTGCAGGAGGCAGCTGATCATTGATGACTCTCTCATCATTGATGTTTCTCTCTCTCTCCCTCTTCCTTCCTCTCTTCGAAATCAGTAAAAACATATTTTTTAAAAAATGTATGAGGCCACCCTAGCCAGTGTCACTCAGTGGTTAGAGTGTCGGCCTGCTCACCAGAAGTTTGCTAGTTCGATTCTGGTCAAGGGCGTGTACCTGGGTTGCAGGTTTGGTCCCCAGGTGTGTGCAGAAAGCAACCAATGTATGCGTCTCTTTTACATAGATGTTTCCTGCTTTCCCCCCGGCAAAAAGCAATGGAAAAAATATCCTTGTGCAAGGACTAACAACAGCAAAAAAGTGTATGAGGCCTTGGCCCTGGGTACACAGAGGCAAAGGCCTAGTCCTTCCTTTTAAGGGCTTGTCTAGCAGGAGAACCAGACCAAACCCAACACATTAGATACAGCATGATGGGTTCTACGGGGAACAGGCAGGGACCTTAAAGCCTCACAGTAAGAATTTCTGATGAGTGAAAGCAAGCCTAGCAGTGCAGGAAGGACACAGGAATAGGGAAGCAGGGACTGGGGGGCTGGGGGTGGTCATAGAAATGAGACCAGAAAGATGATTTAAGCCATGCCAAGCTGAGGGGTTCAGATGTTGGCTGGTCATCAGAGCGCCATCTAAGATTTCTAAGGAAAGCAACGTAGAGCTACCTTTTTAAAAAATGTTAATAGCTTTATTGAGACATAATTCCCATACAGTATATAATTCATTGATTTAAGGTGTACAATTCAGTGCTTAGTATGTTCACAAAATGATACAGCTGTCATTACAAATCAAACATTTTCATTACCTCAAAAAGAAACCCCTGACACAATAGATTTGCCTTTTTATACATTTCCTATAATGGAATCAGACACTGTGTGGCCTTTGTAACTTGCATATTTCACTTAGCATGTTTTTAAGGTTCATCCCTTTTGTAGCACGTGCCAGCACTTTGTTCCTTTTTATTACCCAATACTGTTCCGCATTTTGTTTATCAGTTTTATCAGTTGGTGGACATTGGGGTAGTTTCTATTTTTGGCTGATAGGAATAATGCCGCAGTGAACATTTATGTACCAGCTTTTGTGAAGGCATGTTTTCGGTTCTCTCCAGTACACACCTAGGAGTAGAGTTGCTGTGTCAGGTGGTAGCTCTATGTTTAATCTTTTGAGGACCCCCCCAGACTGTTTTCACAGCAATGTGTGAGGTCCCAGCATCTCCACATCCTCACCAGCACTCTATTGTCTGCTCTTTTCATTACATCCATCCAAGCAGGCATGAAGTGATATTTCTTTGTGGGTTTGGTTTGCATTTTTCTGATGGCGGAGCTGTGTTTTATTTTTTTTTAAACATATTTTTATTGATTTCAAAGAAAGGAAGGGAGAGGGAGAGAGAGATAGAAACATCAGTGATGAGAGAGTCATTGATTGGCTGCAGCCCACAACGCGGGCATGTGCCCTGACCGGGAATCGAACCCTGATCTCCTGGATCCTAGGTCGACGCTCAACCGCTGAGCCACGCCAGCCTGGCCGGAGCTGTGTTTTAAAAGGTCCCTTCAGCCCTGGCCAGGTAACTCAGTTGGTTAGAGCATCGCTGCATACGCCAAGGTTGCAGCTTTGACCCCTGGTCAGAGCACATACAAGAATCAACCAATGAGCCCGGCCGGTCGTGGCTCAGTGGTTGATAGTCGACCTAGGATCCAGGCGATCCGGGTTCGATTCCCGGTTGGGGCACATGCCCGGGTTGCGGGCTCGGTCCCCAGTCAATGGCGTGAAGGAGACAGACAGCCGATCAGTGACTCTCTCATCATTGATGTTTTTATCTTTCTCTCTCCCTCTCCCTTCCTCTCTGAAATCAATAAAGATATACTTTGAAAAATTTTTAAAAAACACACCAACCAACGAATGCATCAACCAATGGAACAAAACAATCAATCTCCCTTCCTCTCTTTCTCTCTGCCTCTCAATCAATAAATAAAATTTAAATAAATAAAAGATCCCTTTGGCCATGGCGTAAAGAATTGGGGTGGGGGGGTCGAGGCAGAGACCAGAAGCAGGATCCTGAGGATGTCACAATGCAGCTGAGATGATAGAGGCTCTGGTTGTGGCTCTGACACGTGGCACTGAGGAGGAAGACTTAAAGACGCAACTTCAGAGCTGGAGTTGACAGCTTTAGTGAAGTAAGCGGATGTGAGGGAGAGGTGAGGTGGCCATCGTGGTTCTGACATAGGCCAGATTGTGAATGGAGGTTTCTTACTGAGAAGAGGAAATCCAGGCAGAGGATGGATCACGGGACACCTGGGAGGAGGTCTGGATTAACTTGAGTAACCAGGAGTGGCTTTCAGGTACTGATGCTACTCACGCGGAACACATTGAGACAATCAAAGCCCGGATGTACGTTGGGCTCACCCCAGACAAGCGGTTCCTCCCTGGGCACCTGGGCATGGGACTTGTGGAAGGTAAGGAGGGAGCTTGCGGTGAGTAGCTGGGGAGACTGTGTCACCAAAGATTCTAAGTTGTGTTGTCTGGGCCACATGGAACACTATTCCCTACAGGTTATGACTCCATGGGCTATGAGATGTCCAAGCCTGACCTCCGGGCCGAGCTGGAAGCAGATTTGAAGCTGATCTGTGAGGGGAGGAAGGATAAATTTGTGGTTCTGAGGCAGCAGATCCAGAAATACAAGAAGGTTTTCACTGAAGCAGTGGCTAAAGCTAAGAAGTAAGTGCCAGGTCCTGCCCTTCTGCACACATGGTGGCTTAGGTCTGTGGCCGTGGCCCTAAGAAGTGGGAGTTCCTGGGGTGATTGAGCAGAAACCAGGTGTTTCTCATAACCCTGCCCTTCAGGTTGGTAAATCCCTGCCAGGCCGGTTCATCATTACCAGTGGCCTTGCTGTCTGACTTGTCCCCTTCAGATTTTCCTCCTGAGTTCTGTTTGAGCTTTGTCAATATAGAAGCAATAAATAGAAAGATCTGGTCCAGTTATTCTGGGCTGTTGGTTAGATGCCATTCTCTTGATTTTAACTGTCTTGAATTAGTAGGCAGCACAATCATATCAGTAAACTGACGTGCTGGTGTATGACCCATTTGTTCTCTGGAGTATTTGGAGGTGGTCATTTAGCAAGCAGCATGTATGCATTTTGTTAGAAATATTTCCTACCCCGTGCCAACTTTGAAAAATGCATGAGCTAGTTTAACTTAAACCCAGACAGGCACTTCAGGAGTGTGTGCGTGGACCCTGTGCGATTTATTTTGGTGTGAGACCACTGACAGGAATACCTGCCCTGCACCTGGATTCCTCCTGGAAGCTGTCAGGAGTCACTGGGGCCAGGGCTGTATAGCCAGTGCAATTCTGTCTGCCTCCATTCTTTGCAACAGGCCTGTGGCTGACCAGCCAGCTGGTTCCCCTGGTCACACACATGTTGTGTTCACATAAGAATGTTGCAAATACTTTGCTGTTTTTTCAGATTGGACGAAGCGTTGTCTCAATACTTTGGCCAAGGGGCAGAGGTGCCCCAGCAAGAAGCCATCTACCCGGCTCTGCCAGAACCCATCAGGAAGTGCCCGCAGTGCAACAAGGACATGGTCCTCAGGACCAAGAAAAGTGGCGGGTCAGTGCCCAGCTTGTGCCCCACCTCAGCTCGCCTAGCACCTGCTGGCTTGGCCGGACAGCTTCTGCTAGGCCCCATCATTTACTTTGTGTCATTATATTTTTAAAAATATATCTGTATTGATTTCAGAGAAAGGAAGGAAAAGGGAGAGAAAAAGAGAGAGATAGAAACATCAGTGATGAGAGAGTCATTGATCCGCTGCCTCCTGCATGTCCCCAACTGGGGATCGAGCCAGAAACCCGGGCATGTGCCCTGACGAGGAATCGAACCGAGATCTCCAGCTGTGCTGTATCATTATTTAAAGGCAAACTGCTGTCGCCAGCCCCTGCTAGGTGTTGAAGGTAGAAAGGTAGCTGATGGGGAGCTGTGAAGTGCTGTGGGACTCGGAGGAGGTGGTGGACTGAGTGGTGGCAGGACTGTGTCCCCTGTTGATAGCATCTAATTCATCTAGTGTGTGGAGAATGCTTTAGAAGCATGAGCTTCAGACCCAGGCACGTCTGTGTTCAAATTCCCACTTCTACCACATGCAATCTTTGTGCACCAAAGCAGGTTACTTAACTACTCTGAGCCCTGATTTTCTCTTCCATAAACTCCGGGCAGTGGTGTCTACCTCACAAAGCTGTTGGGAGGGTAAGGATTCAGTGAGATGAGCCAAAGGTCTAGCAGAGCCTGATATGTTAGAGACGCTCAACAGTTGATGTGTTTCTCTTCTAGTTTTGGCTCTGAAGTGGGTCTGGACATCTTAAATCCCTCTTCATTTCCAGTGCATTCAGTGGGAAGTTTACCCTGAGGCCCAGGTTGTTTGGCCTGGCCTGGGTGGCAGGGGAAGTTCATGGCAGGAGTGGTGGATATGGTGGTGGCAGCTGTTTATCATGTGCCCTCCCTGTGGCTGGCATGCTGCAAGGTGCTCAACAGACGTTACCTTATTTGACCCTGTTACCACCCTACAGGGCAGGTGTTTTACTTGTTTTCTAAGGAGTGGTGACTGAGGCTTAACGGGCGGAGGTGGCTTGTCTATAGCAGGCACCCTGGAGATCAGGGAAGGCAGAATGTGAGCCCGGTCTTCACAGCCCTTCTCCATTCTGCCAGCCCCTCTGGCTGTAGCATCGTTCACCTCTATCCACTTATGTGCCGCTGTGTGAGCAGATGGCTTCCCTGGCTCTCAAACTGGACATTAGTGGGTTTGACCCAGCAGCCTGTGGCAGGCATGTGTTGCACACAAACTTATGAGCCAGAGCCACTGCAGGCATAGCCCAGTGCCTGATGGCCATGTGTAAGCACTCAGTACATGCTCAGTACAAGCAATGGCTTTTTCTTTGCCACCTGTGGGTAGTGGATTAGTGACCATTGGAACATAAAGGGAAAGAATACTTGCTTTTATGTTAGCTATGGGTTCTTCAAGTCCTGAGTCACCCATGTGGGTCTGAAGACTCTTGTGAGATTTACCACTCCAGGGTTTCTCTGATCATTTCCATTTCTGGGTTTTTGGATTTGCTATTTGAATAATTGCGGTTTTGAATTTGTTTGTTTTTCCTGGTCTGGTCATACCCAGGCATGCTCAGACGACATTGTAAATGGTGTGCACGTTGGCTAGTCCAGCCCTAAAGTTTAGGACTGGAAGGCATCAAGAAATGTTGGCCAAAAAACGATGTGGTGTAGATGTTAAAGGTAAAATCTGTCTCATCAGGCAGATAGGGTCCTGGGCTTCACTCCCAGCTCACTCCACAGCATCCTGGGCAGCTTCCAGGCTGCCAGCCCTGTTTGTCCCAGTGTCAGGTGATGCCTGTCACGAGGAAGAGGGTAGGGAGGTGAGAGCCCTCCCATGGAGCTTGAGGGGGCCCTCGTACTTGGTGGCGCTATGGTCCAAGCTCTGGCAGGTGGGCTGGGTGTTTCTAGGTAGAAGCAGGGTCAGCTGTAGCAGCAGCTTTCCCTTTTCTTTCTCTTTTCTTTCTTCTTTTTTTTGGTTAGTCCTCACCCAAGGATATTTTTTCCATTGCTTTTGAGAGAGAGGAAGGGGGAGAGAGAAACACTGATGAATTAGGGCCGGGGATCAGACCTGTAACCAGAGGATCTCGGGTTCTATTTCCAGTCAAGGGCATGTGCCTCCATTGCGGGTTCGATCTCTGGCCCCAGTCAGGGCTCATACAGGAGGCAGCCGGTTGATGTATCTCTCACGTCAGTGGTTCTCTCTCTCTCCCCTCCCGCCCTCCTCCCTTTCTCCCTTCCATTCTAGAAATCAATGGAAAAATATCCTCGGGTGAGGATTACATACACAAAATAAATATATGTGTACGTGTATGTTTGGTTTTTTTGTTACCAATTTTAGAGAGAGAGGAAGGGAGAGGGAGAGAGAAACAGCATGGATGTGAGAGAGAAACATCGATCAGCTGCCTCCTGCACACTCCCTACTAGGGCTTGATCCTGCAGTCCAGGAATGGAACTAGTGAGCTTTTGGTACACAGTACAATACCCAGCCAACCGAGCCACACCAGCCAGGGCTTAAAGCTATTTATAGCAACTCTGTCTTTCCCACAGCCTTTCTGTTCACGTTGTAGAAGGCAGTTTGGCCAATCTGTACTGGACTTTGAATAAACTCCCTGTATTGGACAGTGGAGGGATGGGGGGTGGATTTTCTTGCCAGGTGGGTGACCACCTAGGACTCTTTTGTTTCCCCTATTTCCCGTGGCCTGCCTGACCCTGGTCCCGACACCACCCAGGTTCTACCTCAGCTGCATGGGTTTCCCGGAATGTCGATCAGTTGTGTGGTTCCCCGACTTCGTGCTGGAGGCCAGCAGGGATGGGAGTGTGTGTCCAGTGTGTCAGCCACACCCTGTTTACAGGTGAGCTGGGTGCCTGAGTCAGTTGTCAGAGCACAGGTGGGGAATATTCAGGGCTTTAATTCCTCCGCACTGCAGGAAGGTATTCCCTGTGCTCAGCAGGCCTAAATTGGTTTAGGTCCCATTGATGCCTTTGTAGGTATGGAAGCCAGCCTTGGGGGCAGGTTCCTGGGCCGTCTCAAGAGGAAGAACTACGAAGGCCCCCTTGCCCTGTCCTCTTCTGCTAGGTGGCCAGAATATACGTGTATTGAATATCATTTCCATACTTCCCAAAAGCCCAGAGTTCTCATGTGGAACTGGTCCTCAAACCTTTCAGTCACAGGACCCCTTATACTTGTAAAAATTATTGAGGAATCCAAGAGCTTCTGTTTTGGGTATGTTTATCAGTATTTACCATGTTCTAAATTAAATTTAGCTTATTAATTGTTTATGAACATGCATTGCACACTAACATAAATAACATGTTTTTAAGCTAAAATGCCTATTTTCCAAAGCAAAAAAGAATAAGAATGCATGTTTTTCATTTCTGCAAGTCTAATATCTGGCTTAATAGAAGGCAGTTGGACTCTCATATCTGCCTCCACAGTCAGTGTGCTGAGTTTCTGTGTGTGTTGTGGCCTCTGGAAAACTCTACTGCACATACTTGGAAGAGGAGCACCACAGGCTTTGCTTCTTAGATTGTTACAGAGTATTTTTGACCTCCCCTTGAAAGGGCCCAGGACCCTCCAGAGGCCACTGAAGCACTCTGAGAGCTGCTGGTACAGGGAATGAACCTTGCTGAGGCCTGTATTGTGGTGACCCACTGGTGTCTTAGATTTCACCTATCTCCTGGGACATGGGGATGCCAAGGGGTGACCTCAGGCATGTGCAGCCCTCGTGGGACCAAGGAGAAGACTCTTGCACCTGGTAGTAAATGTTTTTTCTTAACTTCCTTGGCCCCATTAGGTTGAAGTTAAAGTTTAAACGTGGTAGCCTTCCCCCGACCATGCCTCTGGAATTTGTTGGCTGCATAGGCGGATGTGATGAGAACCTGAGAGAGATCTTGAACCTAAGGTTTTCACAGGGCCCCGCAAGAGCTTGCCCACCAACCAGCCAGCCCTCTGGCTACCTAAAGGCTAGCCAGTACCTGAACAGAATGGACAGCAACCAGCACAGCCACCCCCAGCCTCCAGACACCAGGGAGACCAGGCCTTCAAAGGCTCTATCCCGGAATCTACCACCACCCGCTGCTGCTGGTGAAAGCAACTCCGTGATCTGCAACTGTGGCCAGGAGGCCGTACTGCTCACTGTCCGGAAGGAGGGTCCCAACCAGGGACGGCAGTTCTATAAGTGCCAAGCTGGCAGCTGCAGCTTCTTTCTGTGGGCCGACAGCGGCCATCCAGAAGCAGGAGGGACTCCTTCCTCTGCATCAAGACACCCAGGCGGCTCACTGGGACGCCCCCCAGACTCCAGGAACCCCCGGGGTGGGTTTGGTAGGCCTGGTGATGACACTGGTGGTGGCACATCCTGCCTGTGTAGTCAGGCTGCTGTCACACGGACTGTGCAGAAGGACGGGCCCAACAAGGGCCGGCAGTTCCACACATGTGCCAAGCCGAGGGAGCAGCAGTGCGGCTTCTTCCAGTGGGCGGATGAGAACCTCGCCCCAGGTGAGGAGCAGGGCCCTTCCCACAGCGGCACCGCCAGAGCAGCTCCGGGCCGGCGGGGCCGGGCCTGTGGATCCCTGCCTCAGACTAGAGGCAGCGGAGAGGGCAGGGGAGGCAGTGATGGGAGCATGAGGGTGAGGGGTCCTCTGGCTCCTCCATCTTTGTTCCAAGCCAAGGGGTGGCTACCATAAGTCTAATAGCTTGCTGTATGCCCAGCGGGAAGCATCTTCACCCTGCACCAGGTAAGCTTGGGATTCCAATTTTACAAATGAGGAAGTGACTTTGCTCAGGGTCACACAGCAGCACAGCACAAGATTTGAAAGTAGGTCGGCCTAATTCAACAGCCCTGTGCTCCTGTAGCCTTTGTAAACCCTGCAAAGTCATTCTCATCAGCCTCATGTATTCAGTTGAAGAAACGCCCTAACGATGCCTAGGAACCTACCCAAGGTTACATACATGGCTTGGGTCTGGCACCCCAAAAATGGTGATGTGAGAACTGGCACCTGGACACTGGATCAAGTTAGTGTATCTGAAGACATTTAGAAATGGCCCCTGCCCGCTCGAGTACACAATGGAAGCTTCATTAAATATCAGAATGACCAAAAGGCCTAGTAAGAGCTTTGTGACACACCTGGTTCCAAAGCCTGGCTGTCTGACCTAGAACACATGACTTGGCCTCAGCCTCAGTTTCCTCAATAAGGTGAGCACCTGTCTATATCCGAGTTCCTGTTTTATAAACGTGTTAGTCTCGGACTGTGGTTCTAACACGTGTTGCCAGCTCTGCACATACAGGAAGGACCCAGAAGGCTCTGAAAATGTAGGGCTGGCTGCCAGTGCCAGAGCAGCCTGGAGACAGCCACCACTGTGACAAACTCACATTTAAAATATGGGAGGTGGTTCAGACATGCAGGGGCCACTCTCCCCACTGAAAGGAGGTCTGTTATCCTGGATAATCAGGCAGTCAATGCTCAGAGGTCTGTTGAAGGACTGGAAGGATCCAGAACCCAGGTTTCTTTGCATAGAAGGTGGGGAACAGGCTGTTGGTCACAGGCCCTCCGGTCTTTGTTGCCTCACCACACGACCTCAGGCAGCTGCTTCCTTGGTTTCCGCTTCTGTAAAAAGGCGTGGACAGAGTGACAGCTCTCTACCAGGACAGTGAGTGGGCTGCAGCCTTCAGGAGCTCAGGGCTCAGGTAGTGGCAGTGTGCTCATGCAGAGTGAGGGAGCCTGCCCTTTGGGGGGGCTGTGACTACATAAAGGTTTGGAGGGTACCCCACCCAACACGAACCTGTGTTTCCTTCCATGTCCGTGTGTCTTTCTAAACTCAGACTTCCCCCTGACATCCCACAGGGACTTCTGGAGCTGCACCCTGGCCAGGAGGCAGAGGAGAAACCCACGCACCGGAGTCCAGAAGCAAGAGAGCGCGGGCCAGTTCTTCAGACCCAGGGTCCACGGCCAAGAAACTGCGGAAATGCAGCCTTTGCCACCAGCCTGGACACACCCGCCCCTTCTGTCCTCAGAGCAGATGAGGGCAGGGAGGGGTAGAAAGGGCTGCTTCCTCATACCTGCTCCTCTATCTCAAGGAGTTGTTTTCCCTAGGACCAAGTAGCTCTGCCCTGCCCTGAAGGTGTTAAGTGGCTGCTTTTGGAGTCTGGCCTGCTTGTGTTAAGGAGTCAAGATTCAGACTGTTCTCAAGGCCACCTCATTGGACAGAAGCCCTCTCCCTGGGGCTCAGGAATGACCATGGCCACTGCCAAGAAGTCACAGAAGGTGCTCCCTGTGATCCCGCAGGGATTGTCTATTCGTGCTGTGGAGAAGCTGGTGGCTAGAACCTTGAGCATTGGAGTTGGTGTGTTCCGCAGCTGGAGCCTTCCAGGGCTCCCTTCGCCTACTTGAGAGGCCACTGCTCCCAGTGCAGGCTCTGGGCAGCCAGGAAGGGGCTTCTCTCCACAGGCATCCTGAGAAGGGAGGCATAATGCAGAGGAGTGGCTCTTGCTCTAAAATTGTGTCAACAGAAGATTTATCCTCTTGCCCAGAAACTGCCGTGGCCAGGACACACCCTGCTCATGTGTCTTAATAAAGAATTTTCCCCCCTTTTTCTGGTGGGTAAGGTGCAGTGTCTGGCAAATGGTGGCAGGAGCAGTGGGTATAGACACCAGCCAGTGCCCAAGCGACCTCTTGCCAGCCTCTGGCCCTCATGGTCTCCCCTTCCTAGCCCCTGCCCTTTTCGCTGTCCACATGGCAAGCAGTAAGCTCAGCTTCTCGCAGCCCCACAAATAGCCTGTCCTGCAGAGAAGATAGCCACTGCACAATTCAGAATACTTTGTCTTCCACACCTCCCAAGGCTGCCACATTCCTTACTGCCTTTATAAAAACCTTAGGAATGGTATGTAACCATTTTGGTTTTGTTGTGAGGTTTAGAAGGTAAACAGAAGTGGGTGTGAGTTGCCCGGAGTCACAGCGCTAGCTGGTGAACAAATGAATTTTCCTTAGGTCTTGGGACTCCTGGCCCCATACCGTTCAGACAACTAGCTCTGCCCTGGCTGGATGGCAGGGTAAGAGTGCAGGTAGATGCCTGGCATTGCTCCTGGAACCTGGTCAGTGGGATGGGTCATGGTCCTGCATTTGTGGGGTTTTGAGCTCCCCCAGCCCTGGAAACCACCCGTCCATATTGTCTCTGGTTTTACCTATTCTGAACATTTCATATAAATGGAATCATACAGAATGTGACCTGTGTCTGGCATCTTTCACTTAACATGTTTTGCAAGGTTCATCCATGTGGAAGCATGTCGGTCCTTATGACATATTCCACTGTGTGGATGGACTTCAGTTGATGGACATTTGGGTTGTTACTTACCTTTGGCTGTTGTGAATAGTGCTGCTAAAAGATTCAAGTATGCGTATTTGAGCACCTGTTCTCAATGCTTAGGAGTAGAGTTGCTGGGTCACGTGGTAATTCTGTTTAATCACCAAATGGTTTTCCAAAGCTACACCATTTTACGTTCCTATCAACAATGCGCGAGGGTTCTGTTTCTCCACATTCTTACCAATACTTACCTTTTTTTAAATTACAGCCACCCTAATGTGTGTGAAGTGATATCTCATTGTGGTTTTGACTTGCATTTTCCAAATGACCACTGATGTTGAATATCTTTTCATGTGCTTGTTGGCCATTTGTATATCTTTAGACAATTATCTACTCAAATCTTTTGTCCATTTTTCAACTCGGTTGTCTTTTTGTAGAGTTGTTGGAGTCTTCATAGGTTCTGGGTACTAGATGCATTTGTGGGGTTTACTCTTTCTGCAGTTAACTCCCATATGTGCCAATACCAAGAACTGCTGGATTGGACTGTGCCAAGGACAAGCCCAGCTCAGGTCCTGGCACCCCACTGACCTCACCGGTGTGTCTTCACCGTTAAGCCTGAGCAGCCTCGTCTGTAACACACATGTTAGTCAACTGGAGGCACTTTGCTGGAGGGTTACAGGCCCTACTGCAGTGAGAACTTCACATGCAAGAGCCTGTTAGGGAGTTTCCCATGTCTCTCTGGCTCGCTCAGGCTAGCCATTCAGTGCACTGAGAAACTGACCCATCTTCCGACCATGGCGAAAGGTTGGAACCCCATCTACAGCTTGCACAGGCAGGACAGGATAAGACGACCACCACTTACTAAGCTCCAGTCACAAGTCACAACTAGGAACTAGGCCACATAACTGACGCACCATGTTTCTCAGCCTCCAGCTCCCTGGGAGGGACACAGCTCTGGTGAGTAAATTCCTCCGCACAACAGCTAAGTGGGAACTGACAGCCTTTGCTTCCACATCAACACCTCAGAGAGCTCTGGGGGAGTCTACTGTGTTCTCCATGCCAACGAAAGAACCACCTGTGCTGCCCCTCAAAGAGCTCTGGTGAATGCCTCCTGAACTTCCCCATGGCACCTCTTCCTGCCCTAGTGTGAAAAGCAGCAGGAGTGGCTCCCCACACAGCAGCTGCTAGTTGAGGGAGTCTGTCTGACGCTCACTGCTCTTGGAGCAGCTGGAAGGTAAAAAAAATAAGCCCTGTTCCCTCTGGCAGCTGGCCATTCTCTGCGCACCAGGCCCAGTGTTCCCGCAGCACTGCGCTCACATCAGGCAACAGTCCTGGGACACTGGGAGATCTGTTACCCTTTAGGGTGAATTCACAGCTGCCTTTCCTTCCAGGGCTTGTTGCAGCTCAGAACTTCAGCTGTTCAGAACCAAGGATCTCTGACTAGAAATACAAAGGGCATGGGTCAACCAGCATGCCAGGGTGGTGCCACTCTCCCATTGGCCATCCCTGCTAGGGACAGATGTGTGTGCTCCATCCCTGCCTTAGACCACCCATGTTCACACTGGGAGGTGGTGCTGGGGGCACCCTGGAAAGTTTGGTGTGAAAACACAAACGAAAGAGCCTGAGAGTCTGGCATTGCTGCGTGAGGCCCAGCCAATTAAACTGCTGTCTCAGGAAATTGAGAGTATGCAAAGATGACCCAAAACATTCCCCGGTGTCATTTGTGTTGGCCTTCAGAATACACTCTGGGTTTCTTCCACTGCACCCTTAGCTTCTTCATTGAATTACGTGCAACCAAAATACGACGTTACTGGGGTTTTTTAAAAGCCTAATTTTCTGATTGGAAAAGAAATACGTACTTTTGAAAAATGCAAATGTGTCATGTACCAGGTTGGAGGCCCCTTGTTTTAGAGAGAACAGGGCAAAAATGGAGCAGTAGCCCTGGATTATGGGCTTTGGGGTGAGCTGTGCCTGACCCTGATCCCCTGACCCTGGGCCCAGTGCCCTTCCCATACCTGGAGGAGGTAGTACCTGCTCTAGAGCCCCTGCAGGCTCTGTGCCTGTTTCCTGGGGCTCCAAGCCTGGCCTCCTGGCCAGCTAAGTCCTGGGGTCTTAAGGGGAAAGGTCCACTTGGAACCAAAAGTCAGGAAGAGCTTGTGTGGCTTGTATGGTAGATCAGAGGCAGCTGTTCTGGAGGCGGATTCTGGCCCGTTAAGGTCTTTGAAGCAGGTGGTTCCTGAGCTGACACTGAATTGGATTTTCCTCAGAGCACACCAGGAAGATGGGAGCCGCAGACAGGCATTGCCAGTGGAGCAGGAACTGCACTCCCATCTTCCACGTGAGGTAAGGCCTCTCGGAAGGCCAGGAGAGCCTAGACGTGCCGGTGAGGCTGGTGCCAGGGGTGGAGGTGGCTGCAGCTTCTCTACCAGACACAGCCCTTTCCTTTTCTGCTCCACTCTGGCAAGTCACAGCTCAGGGCTTTGGGGCTGGTTTTCTGGCCTCCTGGCTGAAGTCCTTTCAGAATGCAATTTGGCAAGATCCTTCAGAACCTGAACAAATTTGAACGCTCTCCATCCCCAGGAATCTCATGAGAAAGTTGTGTGCACGAAGACTTTCTTCAGGGCTGGACTGAAACACCTGGACAGATTGGCTCTAGGATGACTGGTGCCTCCAACTGATAGAATATTGTGCAGCTAAGGGTTTTTTCTTCGCAGCTAAGGATTTCTGAGGAGACATGAGTGAATTTACAAAAAGGATGTTTTATGTATCAAGATGTATTCTTAAGTGGGTGACATCTTAAATTTGTAAGTTCCTGTTTCCCATTTTCGTGGTATTATTTTGTTTACCTGCTCTCGCATTCCTTTCGTTCTGCGCAGGTGGCATCACTGCCGCACCAGTCGTCACAATTGTGGGCCTTGGGTCACTGAGTAACGTTAAACCAAGGACAGGACTTGGGCTCCAGGTTTTCTGCCACACCTGAAAGGTCTGAGTGTTAAGATGTTCAGACCTTGGGCCGAGACTGCACCTGCTCAGGGTTGGAACCCTTCTTGTGTCAAAGGGGAGTCAGCAAAACAGCAGCAGCCACCCCTGCAGCTGACATAGACCAGGACAGAGCCAGCCAGACAAGCTCCTGCAAAGGCTCCTGGCAAAATGGTGATTTGTTTCCAGTTCTCAGCTAAAAACTGAAGCCCAGATGTTAGCTATGCATTGGTGATATAACTGAACACCTTTTTTCTCTCCCTTTTAATTCATCCCAATGTTTTTCTTACTGAAATTGTGGTGTGTGAGGGGAAATTCAGAGCTACCTAAAGCATGAGGCCTCCCCAGAGGGGACTATATGTGGGGTTTGGTCATCTAAGGGGGGCTCTGGACCAAGCTCACTTCCTAGACTGCCGCCCCAGCCACACCCAGGCCAGCCATCAGCAGGCCACCAGTCGTCCTCAGGAGTACAGCCGTGGTCAGATGCAGCCTGGCAGCAGAGGGCTCCTTGTGCTGGGGCTCTGCTATTGGTCTGTGAGGAAGCACCAAGGCCCAGCAGTGGTGGGGGGCACTTCACCCTGCCAGGCTCTGGGCTAACGCTCCCACCAGCAGTTACTCCTTACAACCACCCTAGGAAATAGGCACAATAAATCCCCACTTTGTAGATGAGAATACCAAGGCACAGCTTTGCCTCTAGCCCATTCCCTTGCCAACCCTCAGCTGCTATTACAGCTGCTTAAGGCTGTCTGCGCCAGCTCCTGAGACAAGTTATCTGATGGCCCTCAGCTAAGCCCTCTGACCCTCGCCGTAGCCTCTGAGTGCAGCCATCCAGCTGTCTCTACCGCAGAGACGCAGCCCTCAGCCCCGAGGCAGCCCGGTATCCTGCACGCAGTGCAGTGCACAAACATCTCATCTGTCAGGAGGACGAGCTTAGGAAGTACAGTGGGATGGGGAGCAGCAGGATGGGAAGGGCACAGCTGAGGTGGCCACACTCCAGTACACAGGGTGTCGTTTGTCAAGTGGTGACAAAGGAAGTAAGCCCCAGCTATGGCTTCTGTGGGGACACATGCAGTTGCTTCCCCCTCTGTATCAGGGAGGTGGGGAAAATCACATATCTCTGACACTACTGGCTGAAGGGCTTTGGGGTAGCTCCAGCCATCCTATAAAGCACAGGGGCCATGAACTCAAAAATTCAGGCTTTGGGAAGAAACAAAACCCTAGTTGGTCCCATTACAAAAGCAAGACATCACGCCAGCAATCCTGTAATACTCTCCCTCCATATACCCCTTTCCAGTTAAATCGCACCACCTCCTCGATTCCAGGCCCCTTGGGCCAAGCTTCCAGAACTCCAATCAGCTGCTGTGAGAGCCCAGCGTGAATCACACAAATGCTTGTTTTTTCTTTTATTCTCATTCACATTCTCTGAGGCATAGCTCTGCTTCAGCAGGAAGGATACCCAAGATAGGAGGACCCCCTGGAGGGGAGGTGGGCCCTCCCTTTCCTGTCCCCCATCCCTGCCAGGCTTGAGTCAGCTGAGAGCTGTCATGTGGGCACTGCGGAAGCCAACCTGCACTCTAGTAGGGCCTGTGCTCTCTAGTAGGGCCCAGTACCACCTAGCGGGGCACCCTTGGCTCTGGGCAAGGCAGGCAGCACAGAGCCTCGGCTTCCCCAGTGGGGAAGGGGCTCTCCATTGCCCAAAGAGAAAACTCCTGATGGAGGGAAAAGGCCCTTCCCCAGAGATGTGAGGTGTGCAACACACCAGGCTAAGCCCCCATTCCAGGCTGGAGGGGAGAGCTCAACAAGCAAGCTCAATCACCGATGACATCGGAAAACACCAGCTTTCAAGTCAGCCAAAAAGCTGCATTCAGCAGGTACCAGGTGACACTGGCCCAGGGGGGATGAGCAAACACATGGTATTTACCATCCTGTTAAATACCAGAAGCCTAGAGATGCCGGGAGCTGGGACCTGAGGAAAACACCAACTCACCCTCAACAGAAAAACAGCTGGCATAGTGCTGGCCTTATCCCGCCCAGGAATGCAGAAGCCATTTTCTGTCAGTGGATTCACTGCTGGTGGTGATGGAACAAGCCCAAGGTCCTGGGGTCTGCCCAGAGGACTTAGGGAGTATGTGTGAGTGGCTGCCATTCCAGGCTGCTTGACAGGCACTGCAGCCCTGCTCAGGTGACAGCAATCCAAGCTCTCTGGGCTCAGAGGGTCCAGCGACTTGCCTATGCATATGCTAACCCCGTGGGCTTAGGTAATGCACCCTTTTATCCTGGCTAAAAGCAAGAGAAAGCGTCCTCTCCAAATCCCTGGGAGGCATATGCAGCTCACCAGCACTGGAACACATGCTGCCTGCCCCGTCCCACCATCTACAGCAGCCCCTCAGGGGCCTGCAGGCCGAGGTACAGCGCATAGCCAATGTCATCAATCTCCTCCTTGCGCAGGCTGTCAAAGAGGTTCACATCGGGGTTGAAATGGCAGGGTAGGCTGGCCTGCTCCAGGCTGCCCACGAGCAGCTCCACAGCCTGCAGGAAGCGTTTCTCCAAGGACTCCTCAGCCCAGTCCACCTCCTCCTCTCCCAGACGTAGAACCACCTGGGTCAGGTGGCCCCGGCTCAGCTGCCTCAGGGCTGGATGGACTCGGCAGACACTACTCAGTAGCAACAGCAGCCGCCGGCGGGTCCCAACATCACGGTCATCCAGAGCTCGCAGCCTGGCGGCCTCTGCCGGATACAAATCCTGCAGCCAGAAGTTCCCAGCCAGCCCCTCCAGGGGCCAGGCCAGAAGGAGAAGGTCTTCAGTGTCAGTGCCAGTGATGGCCAGGAGCACAGCAACAGTGAGGTCCAGACACTCATGCTGCACCTCAAGCAGCAGCTCCTCCGAGGCCACGCTGGGCCGGATTAAGCACCCGAGAAGGCTGCCGATAGCTGGCCAGTTGACAGAGGTGGCCAGTGCCTTGCGAAACAGTTCCAGCAGGACACGGGAAGAGAGATAGCCACCCACCAGGAAGCGGTCCCAGGGGCTGCTTCCACGGGAACAGAATTCAAGCTGAGTCCTGCGCACAGCCCAGCAGCGAGGGTCCCTGGCCACAGTGTCCGTGCCAGGCACCAGGCTCCACAGGCCTGGCTCCAGCACCAGGGGTAACAGGAGACGCACGTGGTCAGCAGCCCCTGCCTGCAGGCCATCATAAAGTGGCCCCCCGGGCACAAGCGCCCCAAAGGGCAGTTCCGGGAACTTGGTCCGCAAGTAGGCCTGCAGCTCCAGGGCAATGTCTCCAGCCAACTGTTTGGCCAGAGCCACATGAGACACTGGGATGCTCACGTGGTCTCGCTCGAACGCCAACAGCTTCTCCTGGAAAGTCAGGCACAATGGTCCTGGGGAGGTAAGCTGAGGAGACGGCTGAGGGTCAGCATCTGCAGGCCCCTCTGCAGAGTGAAAGGGCCAGGGAACATGTCAGGAGGCCCTGTGACGAGCCAAGAGAACTCTACCAGGTTACTAGGTGTGTGCCGGCCCAGGGCCTCCTTTTCCTCACCTGCAGAATGACCAGCTGAGAAAGAGCTCAAGTCCTCATGTATAAAGAGCACTTTGATGACAAATTCTCATTGCCCCAGATCCCCAACTCTCTGGGGCCAAAACAGCTTCATGCAGAGTGGGGAGTCATGTCCTGGACCTCAGTTTCCCATCTGAGGCCCCCCACTGTCCTAAGGGTACTGCCCTACTCCGATATCACCCACAAAGTCCACACGTCCCAGTGGTTAGCAGGAGATCAGAAAAACACACCACCATTAAACATGCAGGGAGCCCACAGCCCTGGAGGAAGAGGGACTTGCACAGGTCGCAGAGTCAGTCAGTGGCAGAGCCTGGGCTGCATCTCCTGAATGTGACCACCAAAGGGGGAACCCACCCAGGTTAGAGCAGAAGGGGTGCCATTCACCTGGGGCAAAGAGTGAGGGGCCTGGGAGCAGCACAGGCTGGCTGAGGGCAGCAGGTGAGGAGTGGGACTGTAGGCGTGGTGTGGCCTTGAGCAGGCTCAGTTCCTTCCAGCTGTCCTCCAGGCACGTGGACTCCGCCTTGGTGTCATTCTCATCCTGAGAGCTGGCAGCCCTGTCAATGAGCTGCAGGCAGAGTGGCACAGATCAGAACATCTGAAGCCTGGGCAGCACAGCGAAGCCCCAGGGTGAAGCAAACAAGCTTCCTGGGTACAGCAGCAGGTGCCAGCCTTGGGCAGTCCCTACCCCACCTCCCAGGGCCCCACTGCAGGCCCCAGCCCTGTGCTCCTATTTGAGAGCCCCAGGTGTAACTGGTCCAGCATGGCCTTACCCGCTTCACAGCCAGGGTGGCAATACCCAGCACGGCAGCCCCGCCCACACCCAGCACCAGGCGGGCATTGGCCAGGAGGAAGTTCACAGCACTGCCCCACACGTCGTCATCATGCCGCTTCCCCGGTTTCTGGGAGAACTCTGCCATGTCTGTCTGCCTAAAAGAGAGCCGGGATGCAGGGACCACTGCGTATGGTGGCAGCCAGGCAGACAACGGGGCAGGTGTGGGTAGGCACTCTGGTTGCCATCACGCTGGGGTCGCTGACTCAAGCCCACAAGGGGGTTCCTGAGAGTTTCAGGAGAAAGCAGCCCCTCACACAGTTTCTTGTGAGGAGAAGGGGAAGTGCTTGAGCCTCCTGCCCCAAACCTGCAAACAACCTTCCCACCCCCGGACAGAGGGGCTCACACAGAAAGGCCCTAAGGCAAGTCCGAAAGGGGGCCCATCTCCCTGACCCTACCCTCCAGGATTCCTGACATTACCAAAGACCCATGAGGACAGTCTTATCATCACCCCAATTTTACAGAGAAACGGGCTGCTGAACCAAACAGTGAGTAGTAGGTACTTGGACCCACGACAGCAGTCTCCTGGCTCTCACAACCCCCCAGAGTCCCATTAGTCTCCTGGCCCTATGGTCAGGTCCTAGAGGCTGCCTCATCCTGGCTCTTAACCGGGGCCAGGCACAGGAGGAGGAAACAAGTGAAAACTACAACTTGGGGCTCTAGACAGCCTGCCCTGGAGGGCCTCTCAGACCTTTGGAGTATCTCAGTGAGGCCGCAGCTACCTCCATATCTCGACAGGGTAGCCCCAGAGGCAGAACTATCAAGGACAGGACTAGTGAGATGGCCCAGGCTGCCCGGGCAGGAGTTGCCCGTCAATGGGTACGTGCTAGTCACGGCCAAAGGCCCCGCTGTGAGCACAATGAGGGAGGAAGGGTTAGAAGTGAGGAGCCCAGAACGGTGGGGCTGGGTGGCGCTGGGCACTTGGGTAGTAGAGGCAGAGACCTCTCCCAGGGCTCCATCCACGAAGCCTCAGCCTCAGGTTCTTCCAGAGGGACTCCTGCCCTTAGGCGCTGAGAGCTGAGGGTGTGTGTGACCAAGGAGCAAGCTCAGGGGACCAGTCAGACATCAGGCAGAACTGTCTCGCTGACACCAAAGCAGATGACCCTGAGCTCAGAGCCAGCTCTGAGGGCACCAAGGACTTCTGCCCTTCCTGCTTGGCTGTGGGTGCCCAGGGCTGTTGCCAGGAGAGGAGAGGCCTGGAGCAGCTGAAGCCTGAACCATTTGGGGACTGAGCCCCAGCACCAGCCCCCTTTTACGCCCAGACTATAAAATAGGCACTGGGCCTGGGTTGTCAAAGGCTGGCGGGGTGCCCACCACGGCCCAGCAACTGCCACCGCCTCCAGCGGAAGCAGGTACCCTTTACACACTGTAAAGAGCTCTCAGTACCCTCGCCTGTCTAAGTGGACTCAATCCGCCCCTGGTCACGCAGGCCTCAACTCGCAGCCTTCGGAGTCCGGGGAGGGGGAGAGGGAGAGGGTGGTTAAAAAGTAACCCCACTCCGCGGGGGCCCCCGGCAGCACCGCACGACGCCTGTCCTCGCGTCCTCTGCCCACCCAGGGTCCGGGCTGGCGGGCGGCCGCAGCAGCTCCGGAGGGCCCGTCCAGGCAGGGTTCA